TTAGGCCTGCTTGATGGATGGGAAACTGTTCATGATCTTTGAATGGAGGAGTTTCCATATATCATCTGTGGTTGGCATTTGTTCTGCTTCACGCACTGGATTGTATCTACCACAGGAAGAAGAATGTCCAGAATATATATCTTATTAACCAAGCACGAGGGCCGTACTGGGAGAATATCAGCCCAAGGTCTTGACAGTATGGACCAAGCTGCGCTCGGTCCGTACAAAAAAGACCGAGGGCCGATATTCTTCCAGTACAGTCCCGAGCAAGCTTGGTTAAATAAGAGATTTATTATACAACCGAAGTTCAAAGGGACACAAGTGCGGTATCATTCAGGACCATTCAGGACAGTGCCCGGTCCAATACTGAGAGAATATTGACCGGCAATAGAGCATTTTGATTGGTTGATTTTAGTTATTGGCCCTCTGACTGCCCGAGTCGTGTAATAAAAAAGTTTAATAAATAAGATGCCATTGATTGGTCTTCTGATATTAATATCACGGAAGTTAATGTCAAACAAGCCATTTTTATTAGTATTATTGCCAGTAATCAATTAACATACTTATGATTGGATTTTATTGGAATAGTCTGCCCATTTCCTTTTGTTACTGGTGCCTGAAACTTTTCAATGAACTGTTCATAAGATATTTTGTGATTGGCACGAATCTCGCACCTGGAAAATAAAACAGAAAATACGTTATTCTTCAGATTGGACAAAATAATAATATGGCAGCAAAAAATTCCAAACTAAGACTACAGTTCAACTTAAGACAATTAACACCATCTTTATTTAATACTATTCCATTATCAGTGTTTTTTATATGCAAAGTACATGCTCTCAACCTGAGCTATAAACAACAACTCTGACAGTTTTCAATGCAAGTTTGATCTATCTGTTTTTACTCTTTAAAAGTTTTTAATTACAATAAACTATCAAACAGTCAAAAATATAAAGTATCAATGCTAATTGTTATTACAGTACTTTAATTCTGATCTGGTAAATCAAGTTTTCCATATTTTTTCATAAGTGGGTTGCATTCACAGTTTCTTTATATATCACATCAATCTTTATATTTTTCCCCTTTATAATCATACCTGTCCATCAGCTCTACAAACAGTTTGTTTGACATTGGAAAGGCAAAGTTGAACAAAACTCTTTTAAGTTCATCCAAGGTTACGAATCCATCCCCACGCTTGTCAAATGCCACAAAAGCTCGAGTAATATTGCCATGATTTTCACACATCTATAAAAGGAATTAAATAGTACATTCTTTTAAAGTCTCTACCAGTTTAGCATACTAAAAAGTACAGATTTAAAAAATTATTCTGCAGTTTTGATTTTTCGAACTTCAAAACAGGAGATGAAAAAAAAAAAAAAGGGAAACAAACAAAACACACAAAGAAATAGAAAAAGAAAAACTAAACTTCAGTTCGTGTCTGTAAATAAATTGATGAAAAAAGGTTAAGTTTTGTAATGGCTATAATCAGTATTAATGTAAACCCTTACACCCTAACATCACTTTGAATATTCTCCACACTATTTTTGTACATTTCTTGAGGAGCTGAAAAGGAGAATTGTTGAATAATCAAAAGCTTCTTTAGATGGTGATCACTTCCTATATTCTCATGACCTTAATGTGTGATTCAGGGGTGATAATGTAAGGAGAAATTAGATGCTTGTCACTGTTAGGGGTCAAACGGTTGAAGCTGGTTAGAGGTTACCATAAAGGGAAAAAGGTTGCAACCAATTTTATGGTCATGTGTACTCAGTTTAATAGTGCAAAGTCAGTTGTAACTCAGATCAGATTCAATGGTGCTATTCAACAGCTCACACACATCTTTAAAAAAATCACATGGTTATCTACCTTCTTTCTGAGTTTATGTTCAAGTTCTACCATGGTAAGAACTGGAGGACTTTGCTTCCTCTCTTGGTTTGATTTGGGCCTACTGTTTATTGCAGCAAGTTTCACCAACTGTTGACCTTCAACTTGGCCTGAAACAAATGTCACGAGCAATGATCAATAAAATTAAGACTCAAATAGTCTCATTTTACAGATCATTTCACAATCTCCTGTACCTTATAAGTATATGCAACCTCTACATACTCTACAATTAAGTCAGTATCTATGAAACAAAACATGTGTCTGCACACACTGTTATAACCCAAAAGGCATGGATAGAAAATAAAAACAGATAAACCTATCAAATAAGAACTATATAAACTTAAAGCACTTATAGCATGACAAAGGTGCAGTTTAATTAACATGAAGAAATACACGCAAAACTACATGATTCCTACTCATGACATACTCTGTGTTCTATGATGAAGATGAGAAGATGTTTTGGGAGTTCTTCTCAGACTGATACTTTCAGAAGTGATTTTCTTTCCCTCTAAGGAGTAGAAAAATGGCATTTCACCATTGTAGTGATCTTGTAATAAGATTTGCCTCAGGGGAGCATTCCTATTAATGCTTGGGAAGGTACATGACTGCCTGTGAGTCTTAGACTTTGAGGGAACATGTTTCAAAGGCATGTAGAATGTAAAGTTGTTTTTTAAATTATCAAGAGCACAGCCCTGGTTTGGCCTTCTTAGTTGTCCTCCAAGTCTAAAAGGAGTTTCCATGGCCAAATGCATTGTGATCTGACTTATGAGAAGATTGCTTCTCTAAAAAAATTATCACCACCAATTTGATTCTGTTGAATCTCTTAGAACTTCTAGACTGCCTGATAGAAACCACCTAAGTTTATACTGAGCTAGTGTTGCTAAGGAGAATCTGTAATAATTGTTAGTTTTATTTTTTGTTATGACTTATGTGACAATATTGAGGAGGTTAATATTTAATTATAAGGTGAATACTCAACCCTTAATGGGTAGATGAATAATTTGTTTTCAAAACAAGTCAAATAAAGAAGTGAATCGAAAATTAAAACAACCCCTAGGAATATTTCTACTGGAAGCTTATTTTTAATCTACTGTTGAGTATTTTCAATAGCTCAAAAGTCCTGAAAGTTCAATATGCAAGTCAATATTAATTTTTGAAAACAGCTTTTTTCCTTAATGAAAATGCACATGTTTGCATTATTTTTTCAAAAGCAGAATGTATAGTTCACAGAATTTAGGGACTAAGTAGAATTGAGGCAAACTAAAGAAAAAATGTTTGCTTGTTAAAAGTCTCAATCATTTGATGGTTAACTACAAACCTCCTTGATTATTCTACACCTGCATATCATTGAAGTTATTAATATTTAATTACAATCAGTGCAGATACTACTGGTTGATTCACTGCAATAAATCCTATTTATTTAAAACAACCATGTAATGATACACATACATTGTAGATACTGATCCACTGATTTTGAGTTGTCTAGAGTTACATCATTACAACGGAATTCTGATTGTGCAATTATATCATCAATTATAGTAGGTGATGAAATTTTTATTTATTCACCTTATAAGAAACTGAATCTGAATTTCCCCAAAAATCAAGGATTAAAGTGAACCAAATTGAAAAAAGACAAACACTCAACACATGTTAAATTTCATGATTTATCTGTATTTGCAATAATTGGTTGATAGCAAAATTATTTTCAAGTTCACTTTAAGTCTTAAATCCATGAACATAAACGTACCTTGTATTGGACTGAATAATTTTTAGCTGTTGTAACATGCACCTGTAAATATGTGTTGAACATACTCCATAACGAAGAAAGAATTCACCTGTTTTACTTGTTTGATTCTTGGGCTTTGCATTAACCCCAAGTCGTTTAAGAAAGTCCATGTACTCAAGAGTGTGACCATTCCGAGTCATGTCATATTTACACCACAACCTGTGATGATAAATATAACTTTATAGTGCATAGAAATAGGTAGAAATATTAAAGGATTGCTAAATATTGAGGCAAATATGTGATATATAAAATAATCTTTGGTGAGAAAATAAATGTCTCTCTAAAAATATGTGATTATAAAACTGGAAACTTTATTGACACATTCATGGACTGTGTAGGACTTACAGCAGTCAGGGCCTCAGGAGGGCCTCAGGAGGGCCTCAGGAGTGGAGAGTCCTTCATACACAGGAAAGTCATCATAGCATGTGGAGCATACCAACCTGCTTTCTTATAATAACTTAACTTTTTCTAAACAAGATAATTTCAGTATATCAACAAAGTTGAAATGGTAAATTGGCCACTGTTACGATTATAAAAGCTGACGTTTCAAGCATTAGCCCTTTGTCGGAGTAAATGGGCTAACAAAGGGCTAGCGCTTGAAACATCAGCTTTTATAATCGTAATGGTGGCCAATTTACCATTTCAACTTTGTTGATATATTGAAATTATTTCGTTATACCCCCACCGACGCAGCCCCAAACAGTTTCTTTAGAAACTATCAGCCTTTATTCATTTTTCTAAACAAGAGATTTGTCCCATTCACCAAACTTCCAACCCCTTCTTTGGCTACACTTTGCAAACTTAACCCCCTGCCAAACTGTACATGTGCCCCCACTCCCACATCTTTGGCTACACTGCTTGAATTCCTCTCCCAAAGCAACCTTCTTTTTTATGTAGAACATACATGTAGATTACAAAAATTTTATGCTTGAGCTAGATCCTGAGACAAGTCTTGAAGTTATCTAAATTACACTAGCCAGTTTGGAAAAAAAAGAATTTCTTCACAGTGCAAAAATGTTGGTTACTTGTAATCTAATTGTGAGTTCTTTCTGAACATACTTGTTGAACTGCTCATCTGTCAGCCTGAAGCAAAAGTTCTCTATGACCCTTTTCAACTCATGCTTCTGTATGTGACCATCTCTGTTATAATCAAAGAGTCTTAAAGCCTTCATCACACTTTGTAGTTGACCACCCATCTAAAAAGAACAAGTGTAAATCATACAATTACATGTCTCATAGAAGTTTTAAATCATTAATAATTTTATGGATATTCATATCAATAAAAATTACCATTTAGTATAACATGAAGACAAAATTTCTTACCTTCCTCCTTAACTGGTTCTCAACCTCATCCATGGCCAAGGCATCTCCCGGAGATTTTGTTTGGTTAAACCTACACAAAAATTGTAATTACAAAGAGGATTAACAGTAAATCTGAGGGTTGAAGTTTAAAAGATGTGCTGTAGCCTGTATGACTAGTGGTTTTGTGTACACTTCAAAGTCCTCCAAAACTATAATCAGCACAGGCTATTTGATTGCTACCAATATGTAATGGTCAGGGCTTGAAAAAGCTCTGATTTCTACACCTGGTTTCAAACATATCCAAACACTATGACAAATTAACTACTGTCAGTAATGATATTATTGCTTGTAGCTTTACTGCAATCAACCCCTCTAGGTTAATGAAATTCTTCACTTGCCTCTGCAGACAATGACATCCCAAAGGTCGTGGAAACATAAATATCAGTAGCTATCACCTACAACAATCCTTTTCATGACCACCCGGATGATCACTGGTTAACTTTACCATATTTATTTGGCTATATAGGGCAATCCTGCCTAATATAAGACAAGACTCCAAACTCCCAACATGTGGCATCTCAAATTAGGAAACTTCTAAGAAAACTTTCCCCTAAACTGTGAAGTACATCATTAAGGGTGTTACAGTAGCACAATATTTGAAGTAAAAATAAATATGTACCTTTAACAAAAAGAGACACTTACTTGTGTAGAGTGCCAAGAAATCGCAGCCCTTCTGGTGTCCCTCCTCTCTGGTGGTACTTCTCTAAGAACTCAATATATGATACTGATCCATCTCTGTTTGTACCAATCTGTTTAATCAAACAAATTCCAAAACATTTAATTTTTTCCCTCCCCTTAATTTTAATTCCCTTGATTTATCCCTTACTATTGGTATTTTACTAAAGGTTAAGGGCTGACTGTTCTGTACACTGAGAAATACTGCTACAATATGCTGTGTATTGGTGTTCACACATTGATTGGGAAAACAAGAATAGGTCAGTATCTTAATATGGCAATGGAATCACAGGCTCCCGTGGTGTGAAGTGGGCATGCATACATTTCACAACAAATTAAGACATAGCAGACTGAATAACAACAACAACAACAATAGCAACAAAAACAACAGTAAACAGAACAAAATACAAATATGCTAGTTCAAAGTTCAAGTCAGGTCTGACACATGAAAATAGCAAGTCACATTGACCCACTCATTTCCCCCTCCCTGAGTGACCACACCCATACAAGTAGTTACATTTCCCCTGATTCTGGTGGATCTAGACTAGAGTGAGAAGACCTCCAAACAGGATAGAAAACAGCACAGCAGCTGTTTAAAGTGTTTTCCTAACTTATACTGAAAGGGATAAAATAAAACAAGGAACTTAAGACAAACAACTCATAATTACTGCCAAGTTTGGAAAACACTTTATGAACTCAATAAACAATTTGTTTGTCAATATGTAAGCATTAAAATGATGCAGGCATTAGATAATCAACAACTTTGGTAAATCTAATATGGCACAGGCAACATGACCATACTTGAAGAGGGGAGGAAGACAGATTATTCTTTGGGTCAGGGTGATATAGTTGGGGATGATGTACCCATATTCTGAATGCATTAATCAGAGGGACATTTAAATTCTGCACCTTTTTAATGAGTTGCTCAAACTGATCCTCTGTAAGAGGTACACAAAATGAATCCAGAGCTCTTTTAAATTCACTTTGAGTTACTGTGTGGGTCTTTTCTGCATCAAATGTTTGAAGAGCCTTGTAGAAAAAAGATAAATATGTTAATATTTAAAACAATATTTCAGATCACAATACATGTATGGGCATAATACTTAGAACCACATTACCATACCAAAATAGAAAATGAGAATAATTCCCCAAAAGGAATAAAAAAAGCATACAACTAAAAACAAGAATGAAGTTGTCAGGGATTGGCTATCATTCATGTTCCACAGGTCTTTCTGCTGCATTTATTTGAATCTGGAAGGACATATAACAAGTGGATGACTTGTCCCCCTAACTCAACTAAGACAAACTTCTTCCTCTCAAATGCTGTTTAGAAATCATGATAACTACCTTGCAACCAATAAGTAAATTCTCCTTAAAATAGTTTTATAAATTTTCAAGGAGAAAAGTGATGATAGTGGATGAAGACATTCAGTAAGAGATATACCGGTAGCTATAATTTGCCTCCGAATTTTCAGGATTACCATAAAAAGGTACGGCAAACAGGAAGGGAAATTAAAATTGGGATATTGAAGGTGAGAATGGAGACACGCTTGGTAAATAAGTTACACAGTCAGAGGAATGTCTTTATATATTGAAACCAACGGTAACTGGGATCTCACCTGACGCAGTTCAGCGGCATTCACTCGGATCTTTTCTCTCAGACGTGACTCGACCTCAATGAAACTCAAATTTGCGTCTGGAGATTTTGGTGAACCTATACAAAACATAGGAAAATAAGCAAACGAAAGCAAGTAATGTTGTTCAATAACTCAAATGTACGTAATCGAGCATTACACAGCATCCTACTGAGCTCCATAGTAAACGATCCTACTAAACATATAGTTTGCTCGAGCACAAGGAGTTCACTTGCATCTGTATGACATGCAACAATCCATCCTAATGAGTTCCGCGCGCTAGTGATTAAGTGCTCTGTTTTGCGCGAGCGAACCATTGTTCTAATTGTTCTAATTGTTCTGATTGAAATGCGACACAAGATTTCGATTTTAACCAAAAATATAAATGGGACAAGTATTTAGGGAAACTCCGATTTCTTATAAAATACTTAACAATACTAACGAATATAAAATCAAAATCGAATGATCTTTTACCAATCAGATCATAATTAAAGTAAAAAAGAGCAACAGATTGCATACGCTCTTCGGGTCAACAAGTTGTTTGTATCACCCACCTAAACTTGAACTGGAAGAGTCTCGCCTTCCTGGGCGTATGATGAACATACCCGATGCAGCTCCTTTTGATTCAAGTGAAGAAACAGCAACATTCCGCCCGCGTGAAACATTTCCAGATGAAGGACGATCAAGTGCTCCAAAGCCAGTTGACTTTCTGGAAGCTGGCCGAGGTGTTATCGTTAGTGCACGCGAAGACGGTCGAAGATCTGAAAAACTATGAACAGCCGGAGCAACTGCAACCTTGGCCATATTTTTGTATCAAAATCTGCAAAATTGAACTTGAAATAATGGAGCAGATCGAAGTGTAATCTCAATCAAACTGTTGCTGACATTTGATCAGCCATTTTACTTTCGTTGTTGTGTTGTTGCTAAGTGAGTCCCGTTGCTAGGCACTCGTTCGCGGGAAACTTTGACGAGCTTCTGGGCGTCTTTCCTGCATTTAGCGTTAGCGTCCTCTGTGCTAGTGCGCAGGCTTGCTTGGTGGAATAAACGATGCTTTTCCAAGGAAACAAAATAGAAGTAGATTTCTATCGAACTGTTTAAATGAGCACACCGGAGGTGGGTACATGTTTTGCATCCACCAATCATAGATACCAACCTCATTTTTTTTCTTCGAAGCGGAAAGTGGCAGTGGGGTAGCCGAGGTGAGAGGAAAAGAAACGTATGTTTCTCTTATTCCCTTATACATAGACAAATTTGGACGGAGGCCTCACCCTTTTTATTTCTGAAATTCTTATTTTCAACGTTTCCCCTTTGTCTTTCAAAAACTAGGTTATGGCGGTTCTCGACCCTCAAAATCTCCAGCCTTGCCGCATTTCGCGTTAGAAAAAGGAACGTCCAACAACGGTTGAAAGTAAACTTGAATTATCATTGCGGCTATATACGCTCTGTAGTGGCAAAGTACGGTATGTACTAAACATTACCGAATTTCTTAGTCTCCCGAGCACCCATTACTTGCTAACGTAACATCAAGAAATGGTTAGATATTCTAGTCTTCTCGGATAGGGACGAATAAATGGAGGTCCCGTCTCCTGCAGGGTTAGGGGTAGGAGACGTTAATTTCCCACGCACGAGATTACTGTGTGATGGATGTCCTCCCCTGGGGTGGGATGGGTGGGTTTTTTGGAGGTTAAAACCTCGTAGGGGACCCATGTCCTATTGTTTCTGCTCCAGTACCTGGTACAAATCATTAAATAAATAAATAAATAAATAAACGTAACGCAACACTTTCTCGCGCGCGTTGAGTCACGAGTAACATAACGCACTCTCTTGCGCATTGCGTGACAAGGCCAAGCAACCTATTATTTTCCACACAAAGCCATCAAGGAAAATATGCAAAGTCTGATTGATCCTAAATATTCCACAAAGCTTTCTTTCCCCAATAAAAGAGCAGGAATTTTGCCTTTGTTTTATGTCAGGCTAAGTCAACCCTTATGGTGGGTTACAACTTCAAAGAAACACACACAAAAAAGGTTCTGCATGCCACGGTCGTAAATTTCTAAGAAGAAAAGTTAATTAAAATTCAGATAGAGTATACACAGACTATGCATTTCTACTTTTTGGCAAAATGAAGTGAAAATCCACAATTTTAAATATTGGAAATAGAGCATGTATAATTAACTTCATAAACTCCTTAGACCTATGTTTTTTGATATAAAGGGATACTACGAAACAATGTACTTTAACTATGGTTCCTTAAAGTAAGGCTTGAACATTTTGAACCATTTTCTTCTCATTTGACATGCTAGAGACATATCCTCAAAAATCAGTATGATGTCAATTGGGATGGGATTTTCTTAAACATGCATAGACACAATTTTATTACAATATGATAATCCCTTACTTTGAAATGACCCATGCCTTAGGTGTGTCATTGTTAAGATAAAATGGAGCACCTAATAAATCTGAAGAAGAAAAGGAGCTTGTGAAAGAGACTCTTCAAAACTAATCCATTATTTACATTTATGATGAGTCATTTGTCTGTTGTCCCAAACAGAAACTTAGATGTATGGTAACAAGTGCTCCTATATCAAAATTATACTTACAATGTGGGTAGTTTACAACACGAAAAAAGATGAAAGTGACAACAGTTTTTATTTAGAAATATAGTAGCATGGGAATAGTTTAAAGGAATGGAAGAAATTTCCTACCTCTGACAAAAAAAAGCTCAGGACAGAGAAATTTAGCAGGAGAATTCTCCAATCTCCTTTGCCTCAAGAAAACTCTGAGACAAAGCACATGTATGTGTAGTATAAGTTTGGCCGAGGGTTGGTAAGCGTCAAGCCGTTTCGATGCCTAGGCAAACGTTGGGTTTAACGTGAGCTCACACACGGGGTGGAGGACACTCAACTGCTTTACAATCAACTGAATCTCCTTTATTGATTGAATCAGGGTTCTTATATACATAATGGTAGCTAAATCATACGTGATACAAAATAAAGAAGATAATACGAGTTTCCCTTGGAATAAACAACTTAATTACCACATATGCGCAATTTCACAGATAAGAGAGGACACTTTCATAAATCCTGTGGAACTGGTGTTCCTACCTGTTTTTTGAAGGAAAGCATGTACAAGATTCCATATTCCATACGACACGTAGTGGGAATATTTTCACAAATACTCTAACTAAAAAGGGTTACACATAAACATAAATCATATTTCTGGTTGTAATTATGTAATCATAGCTTACTTTAGAATTGTTTGTCATGCTTTGTCTCGCTATGCTTAACTTTACAACATATGTTTTTAAAAATCAAATGCTATTCTGACATAAGCAACCTTGCATAAGTTAAGAAAAAGAGAAAAATTTTGGTTTACACAGTTTTTTGAGACTCAGAAATGAGCAAAAATATTTAAAACTAAAAAAGCTGTACAATAATTATTCTCCGGCAATTATTCTATTGTTATTCTTTTAGTTTAGCAATGAATGTACAGGTTATATTTACTTGTTCCACCTACCACACACTTTTGTTTTGTGTGGTTTTTGTAGAGAGTAAATCTATATAAGCCCCCTTAACAAGATCAGCTTCTTCAACTCCTAGCTTTGACATCAAGTCCCTTGCAATTTGTTCTCCTTCAAATGTGCTTTGGTTTTCCTTCATCACTACCTACAGTGAAGCAAATTGAAAGAGATGCAAACTGAACTATGTATATGAGAACGATCCTTCGCAGTAAAGCACTATTTGAGCAATAGTGAAAATCAGACCTGAAAAAAATTTCAGGCCTGTACGGGCTCGAACCACTGACCTTTGCGATACTAGTGCAGCGCTCTACCAATTGAGCTAACAAGCCAACTGGGAGCAGGCCATCAAATTAATTCGATATAAACCCGTAGATGATAAATCAAACAACAACAAACATATGAAACATATGTGTGAACTGTTGTTGTTTGATTTATCATCTACGGGTTTATATCGAATTAATTTGATGGCCTGCTCCCAGTTGGCTTGTTAGCTCAATTGGTAGAGCGCTGCACTAGTATCGCAGAGGTCAGTGGTTCGAGTCCCGTACAGGCCTGAAATTTTTTTCAGGTCTGATTTTCACTATTGCTCAAATAGTGCTTTACTGCGAAGGATCGTTCTCATATACGTCTCATAACCGCAGTTCACACATATGTTTCATATGTTTGTTGTTGTTTGATTTATCATCTACGGGTTTATATCGAATTAATTTGATGGCCTGCTCCCAGTTGGCTTGTTAGCTCAATTGGTAGAGCGCTGCACTAGTATCGCAGAGGTCAGTGGTTCGAATCCCGTACAGGCCTGAAATTTTTTTCAGGTCTGATTTTCACTATTGCTCAAATAGTGCTTTACTGCGAAGGATCGTTCTCATATACGTCTCATAACCGCAGTTCACACATATGTTTCATATGTTTGTTGTTGTTAAACTGAACTATGTTGGTCTGTTCTCTCTTACAATGAAAAGTTTGATCTGAGAGTGATCAACTGCACAGAAGCTTTAAAGTAATGAAATGATCATCATGAGTGAAATGCCACAAAAGAAATCATGGAAAAGGAAGCCCAAAGTTAAGTATTTCTCTTTAATTGCATCCCACCAGCAAGGATCAAAATAATTAATTACATATCATCCCTGGGTCAACATATGATTCATTTCTTTCATTTAATTCTGAGTACATTCTTTTGCTATATCAATTAACTGACTAAAATTTGCCTTGCTCCCAACATGTGGCTTTGCCACTCATTTGACAGTAGTTCCCTAGTAATATCTGGGAGGAATGGGTATGCATCCAACTGAAGCCTGAATGATATTATTTTAGCTTTCTTTCCAACATTTTCTTTGATTGCAGTTCGCCTGTGAAGACAATCCTGATTCTTGTACATCATCTGTTTGCCAAATAATGATTTCTTTCAATAATTATGTGTATTAAAAAAACATTGTCAAACCTCTAACTCCATAAAACAACCCAATCCTTCAACCTCATCACAGTGTACTCTTGTCTGTCCCACAAGATATAAGAGGCGCTTTTTCTTAACCACACCTGATCAAGAAAAAAAATTAATTCCAACCTCAAGAAGTCAAGATAATAAATTTAAACAATGACTCAATGGAGAACTTCTTGGCTGACTCTCTAGAGACTTCAATGACTACTTGTATCATAATAGATCCATATGGGAGAGTTAGTAAAACAGAATTGCATGGAAACAGCTTCCCCAAAATCATAATAAATAGAGGTGACTGAAACCTGACAGATTTCTTCAATTTATAGGTTTCTGCTGATTTTCAGGACCAGAATGTGCACAACAATTAACCCTTTAGCCTGAAACATTAGCATCTATATTCTCCATATAACTCACTATACATTTTCTCAGGTGTTGACAGAGAATTTGTTTAATGATCAAGAGCTGCCATAGTTGGTGATCATTTCCTGTATTCTTATGACCTTAATGTTTGATTCAGGGGTGTATGTTGTTGGGAGAAATTAGGTACTAGTCATTCCTGGGGGTTTAAGGGTTAATAAACCCTTCCACCATTTTGATGTGACTGGCCAATACAAACTTGCCCTCTCATTATCAGTCTTTTACCTTTCTCCCCCATTGCACGGGACAGAACGTCAGCTAATTTATCAGGCTCATTAGTTGGTGCAGTATAAAACTCTGACATCTTTGGGCCAGACTTGTCATCTCTTTGATAAAAGATGAGTTGAGATGGCTGATTATGAAGGAGTCGTAACTGAAAGAGACCATTTCTACAACATCACTCATTCCGACATAAGCAAAACATGAATTACAGTGGATCATTTTGGTTTGGACTAAACTATCCAATCTATAAAATATATTTTGTTTTCTTTTGTTGCTACCTTAATTAAATTGTAGACTATTTCTTTTTTATTTTTATTTTCTGTGGTCAGTATGACACTTTTCACCACTTGCACTATATGACAATAGGCTAAATGACATCCAGAAAAATTCCTTATTAACATTTTAACTTTTAAGATCCCCAAAGAGATCACTCTGAAAATTCTCCTTGCAATCGCTTTTGACTGTCAAACAGCAAAAAAGACAAATAATGAAGACAGCTAAATGCAAAGGGTATCAGGATTTAACACCAATTTCTCGAGACTAGCGAATAAAGATATGCACCGACATCAGTTGTAAGTGTTAACCCCTAGACCTTGGGAGTTCAAAGATGTTTCCATGGGTACCTTGAGCCTTCCTTGGGGTACATTGTAAAAAATGTCTTTCTGCTCGATGATCTCCCCTAGGCAAATAAAAGTAGAACGTAATAGTGCAAATGTCAGCTGAACTATATTATCCTAGGGGAATTTTTTGAAATTTCCATCTAAATTAAAGATCGCCTATTTTTAACGAGTCCTAGCGATGCAGCAGGTCAAACCTGTGTACTTCAAACGCGACAGATTAACTCGCCCGCCTGCGTGTCTCAAAGCAAACATCTTACCTTCTGAATCACTGATTTCGTTTGCCTTTCTCTTGAAAGTTTCAAAATCTTTTACTTTCGCTTTGATTTCAACGTTGGAGGGCATTTCTCTTAATGTAACAGTTTCGGATAAGGGAGAAATGTATTTGAAAGAGCGGAAGTCGAAATGTAGCAAGTAAAACGCGCGAAAATGCAACTCATTGTCGTGAGGTAGGTTGTGTAGTTCTCCTAAAACGTCCTCCAAGTCGCTTTTTCATTTCATTACCGCAGTAACTTTGAAGACAGAGTTTTTAATGTGAATTATATACTCGATGTATAAATCATGCATTGGAAAGCTATGAAGGAAAAGTTCTTTAAGAAGAGATTTTTACATCATCATTTATGTTTATTGGTTTTATATGAATAAAGTTTGTACCGCTGTTTTTACTCACCACGGGCTAGACTAGTCTCCAGTCTTACGCTTAGGAAAACCAAAGCGCCATACTTCGAACACTTCAAAATGGCTGCGAGGCTACGTGAAAGCCTGTGAATGACTGCACACAACTTTAACCGTAATTATGGATCGACCCTCAGTTGATCAAGTCAGGGCTGTCATTGGTGCCCTGTACAATGATTCGGATCCAAATGGAAAAGAGAAAGCTTCAGAATGGCTTCACGAACTTCAGCGCTCGGTAAGGGTAAATTTGCTAAACGTATGCTTTCTTTGAAGTGCATCTTGGTTTACAAGTTAGTTTCGAGAAGTTGGTTATTAATTCAGTTTCGGGCTAAAATCTGCGGTGTTATAGACTCATGAGAACTTGCTTGTCTCCTTTTCAGTGAAGATATTTGTGTCCCTAGGTCAGTCGATAATTGTGAATTAATGATCGCTAATGGTACTTGCGATGTGTCCTTTCTTAATTCGGAATTTTAGAGTATGAACTTCCTACTGCTAGAAAAGATGTTGATTCTATTTTCTGATTACGATTGATAGCCTTCTTGATGCGTAGCTACTTCATTCAATTTGTATGTGGCATATTTTGATTCATCTACTCAAGCTATCCGAAAATCCAGATTGTTTTATTATCCACAGCATAATGCATTAGAAGTTACTTCTGAATTTCTATTCATTACGACTTCTGGGGGTTTCTTATGAAATTTTTACTTTTGTGGAATAAAGAACAGACAGCTGTGTAGAAGAAGTCTTGGTACTTCATATACTAAAACCAATAACAACTTTGAAGGGTTTCCCTGATGATCACATGTATTCTACTTGGCTCTCTGTTTAGTCTGTGTAATAAGTGGTTTGTTTTGCTAAGGGAATAGCAGAGGCTAGCTCTTCAATCCCTGCCTCTCTGTGCTGGACCTTTTGAGTTGCCTGCCTTAGAAGCAAACCTGTCACTCCTCCCTCCTCACCCCCCCCCCCATGCACAAACCCTCCACTTACACCTCTTTTAACATCTTGTATGCCCATTGTACTTCTTGTTTTTTCAATGCAGCAAGGAAAAAAAGCCATAAAGATAGTTAACATGTAAGAATGATAATTATATTGATAATAAGGATAATTATGACAATGCAACCATGTTGAAATGGCTGATCATTCTTGTACAGTTGAACCTCGAACATCCAGATTTCTCAATTATCCAGACACTCTGACACTCTGGTCTCAATTTTTTCATGAATATTTATTAGTCGTGATCAAGATCTGTTGCCAAATTCATTTTAAAACTACAGCATTGAAAAGTGAAGTAAAGGTGAGTTTGTTTGGCTTTCAAAAAGCAAAAGTAACACTCACACACATTGTAATTAATGAAGAAAATTTGAGTGAGGTCTGATTGGCTCAGAGTTGCTTTGTTGCTAAGTGAGATTTCACACTCTGTTGGTTCCTTCAGGGTGGTAATCAAGATAAACAAGCTACACAGTGTCACAAATGTTTATTTATGATCATCATGTCCTCAAAGCATATTAAGCAATCCGTTCTTTGGAGAAAAGATTTACAGTCTATAATTTTGCGATTAAAAAAAGGAGAAAAGGGAACCAATTTGTCAGCTGAATATGGTGTTTGTAAGCAGCAGATATCTGTCTGATATCAAGAACAAGGATAAGATCATGAAGTTTGGTGACAACTTAGAGATGTTCTTCTTTAAAACAAACTGACTTCAACATTTTAGGCTAATGTAAAAACGTTTCTCATTAACTTTGATACACACCTAAAGAGGTATTCACAGTGGACAATGAGAATGTGGACCAATTTTTTTCAGAACAATTTGTAAATGTTTTGGTTTCACAATTAGATGTATCTTTCTTAATTTAGTCAGATTTTGCTCCTCGTTAATATTTACATTCTCAATTATCTGGACCCTCGATTATCCGGCCTATTTCATCTAGTTACATTAAGTGCAGATAATTGAAGTTTGACTGTAATGTGACTAACTCTCAGCAGAGCAGATTATTATTAGTATTATTATTATTATTATTATAGTTTTTCCTATTTAGTAATGCTAAATTTTTTCTTTTCTCATATATTGTAATCAGTCCTCTATCGTGAACGCTAATATTAATTATTTCAAAAATTTGTAAATAATTAGATATGTGGTTTAAAATTGTAAATAATTGCTATCATTATTATTAAATGAAGCGGGCCAATTTTTATCATAATTTTTGTAAATACTTTTAGTGATTATAGTGAATAAAGGTATTATTATTATTATTATTATTATTATTATTATTATTATTATTATTACATATGATGCACGACCCTTGCAGTAGAGAGCGCTATTCATGCAATAGTGAAAATCAGACCTAAAAAAAAAATCAGGCCTGTACGGGATTCGAACCACTGACCTCTGCGATACTAGTGCGATACTAGTACTGACTTCTCTAACATCAGTCCTTGCAATGAAATTCATGTCATAATACAGTAGTTAACTCCAAAAACTAATAGATTTTTGCAAAGAGACGTAATAATGGCTCCAGCTAGGAATAAAATTCAGACAGCATAGCACAAACAATTATTATCAGTTGTCATTTAGTCTATATCTGTAATTTTGGGTGTTATAATTGTTTATTTTGAATTGAAAATAGGCAGGTGTACTTGTTATAATGAGATGTGTTAAAAATGCATTATGCTTACATTGAAATGTTAATAAGGAAGATAAAGAAACAGCTGGCCCAGTTCTTAAAACAAGTTGTTTTTCAGAAAAATTGTTTTGTCTTTTCAGGTTTATGCTTGGGAAATAGCTGACCAACTTTTAAGGCTAAACATAAGTGTAGAAACAAGTTACTTTGCTGCTCAGACCATGCGTACAAAGGTTAGTTTTATTCCTGTCATCAGCAGTTATTAACATGTTGCTTTTTACCTCATGATGTGACTTAAGTCATGCTATGAGGTTTGGGGTTTGGGGGCAAATTTCAATTAAAAATCACTCACTCACTTTGTTAGACATTAATTTATGCATTAAACCTGGATTAAACACTTTTTCTCCCCCTCCCCCACAAGTTTCCCCGTTCAAAGTCACGGTGTACACATATTTGGGGGGTGGTACAAATGCTCGAACTACTTGGACAGATTCAAAATGGCGTCCCTTCCCTTGAAGCGTGCAGTGTTTTTTTATTCCAAACTTGATCAAAACATACCTTTGTGGAGCCAAAAATGGAAAGGAAATATGCTACAGAATACACGACTGCAGAGAAATGGGTGCCTGAGTCCTAAAAGTGACTAACATGAGCAATTTGTGCATGAAGACCCAAACACCGCAAATATGAAGTAAGCTTAAGCTTACTGCAAATTGGTAAGCGTGAAACTTCGTTGATTTCATCTTGTAGCTGCTGGTATCTTAACTAATTCTTCACACATTCGCAATTTAAGACAATTTTTCTCCATCAAAATGCTTACAAACAGAATAATTGTGCCAGCACATGTTGCCCACAATCAAAAAATCTTTCCAAAGTTAAGAAAGCCAGACTGCAGGTTTTGCCAAGGGTGCCAAAAATTCATACCATGAGGTTGCTATAAGGAGCCTTTGATGATTTTATGATTGAACAATAGTCTAGTCCCTGTCCACTATGATAATCCCTGTCTGTAACTGGCCATCCTTGAGGAAATTTGCAAGTGATGTTATAAGGAAGATTTTCTCACAGCAGATTATTATTTATTATGATTGAAGTACAGACAACGATTCTAATATTTTATTATATAGCTGAGGCTTGTGGTTGATATAATTATCGTGCACTCTGATTGGTTAAGAGTGAGATCAAAGCATGGTATTTCACTCCCTTACTACATATAGGCCAATCATGAATTATGCAAATTAAAAAGAAGACAAAAGCTCGATCAAGGACTGCAGCTCCTTTTTTTTATTAAAAACAAAATAATTTTTTTGTTCGATAAATATGGGAAGGTAAAAGATTTTTTACTTACAAGTGGGTCTCCTTGGACATTGGCAAAGTTTTCAGTAATGTGTGCAAATTAAGCTTAATGTTAGTATGAACTAATATGCAAGTGTGTTTCTGATGATGAGTTTCAGACAGCAAATCCTTCTTCAAAAATACATTAAATATTCTTGGTTTTGAAAGAGTACAAACCCTGCATGACATATACTTTATGTATTGCATGCATGCAATTCTAAGGCATACTTCTAAGGTGTTAACAATGATTGGATGAGGTTGAGCATGACAGCAATAATTATCAAGGCCAAAGTTTGTTTTATCTGCTGAAGCCGAAGGCCGAGGCGGATAATGCAATTGAGGCGTTGATTATTATTGCTATTGTGCAAAAACCGAATCAAATTAACAAATGGTAAACACCATAGTGTACACTATTGAGTTATGGATGCACTTGGGAGGTTGATAAGCATAAAAGAAGTGTAAGAGTGGTGGGAGGTGATAGCCGAGAGCAACTCTAGCTTCTTGAGTACTTAGCAAACCTCCTAAGTGTACACTGTGGCGATTACCATTTGTTTTATAACATAACATTGATACATTGTTGCAAAAGAGTTTTCATTTATTTAACAAATCTTACGTGACCAGAAAAAAAACAAGTGTGTGCAGAAAACTAGTCTTTGCATTTGCTCACATTAGCAGCTTACACCCATGGCAAATGGTGAATGCTGAATTGACCAATCAGAGTGCGTGCTTTATTTTGGTTATGTTATAATAATAATTGTTTTATTACATCTCTTCCTGAGCTGCACTTCTAAAGACAAGAGCGCACAAAACTATTGTCCATAAGTATGATGTCACTTCTACATAATTATATAAAATCTATTGTCTGTAGGTATGACATGAGAGAATGTATGATAATATCAATTGTCTTCCCCCATTCAGGTTCAGTATTATTTTTATGAACTGCAACCCGCACAGTACCAGGTAAGATATTAATATGTTGTGACCAGTGAGAATGAATTTGAATCAGCAGTTAATTAATGTGTTAAGAGCTGTAGGTAGCTGAATCGAGGCTTGATTACATGATTTAGTTCATTGTCTGCATACTGTTTGTTATCGCCCCTGAATTTTAACAAATGGTAAACACCACAGCGTGCACTATTGAGTTATGGATGCACATGGAGAACAGCGTGGCCTATATACATGTACTAACATGAAGGGTTAAACTAGATATTTCTGTTCTGGCTTTTTTGCAGTCGCTTAAAGATTCTCTTTTGGATCATCTGTGTACTCTTCATTCTGTTTCTCATGCTATTGTTACTCAGGTATGTAAAGTTGAAATTCTGAATATCTGCTGGTGACCTAACTCATTAGGTGATATAGATTGAGGTACATGTAGCAAGTGCTCCAAGTTGAGACGGTTTTGGTTGCCATTGTGAATAAAAACCTTTTTTGGACTAAATTTGCATGGAAAGACACCAAGTTTGGACTGAATGAGCCCATGTTGTGACTAAGGTTATTGTTTAATTTTAATTTTTTGCTGGCTAGAATTTTATTTCAGGCAGCCAAGTAGTGATTTTGGGTTGTCAAATAGAGACTTTGGAAAATAATGAGCTTGTAGCCTCAATGAATTGAACAAAATACATCATTGTAATCTCTGGTCGAAGTGTTGAATGCAAAGTTGCAAGTTAGAGTTGTTGTTTTAAGAAACATCACTGACATACTCTTCCTGAACAGCTGTGCCTTACTCTTGCTGATCTTGCTGTACAAATGCCACAGTGGAGGGAGGTGGTCAATGATCTCTGTCAGAGGTACATGTTCTATATAAATTTTGTTTTCCATGATTTTTGCTACAATGCTTTCTAATTGTTAAATAAATACTTTATTTTGTCACTTCTAGATTTGGAACAACAGTGGAGAGACTACCTGTTCTCCTAGAAATCTTAACAGTTCTTCCTGAAGAGGTAAGTTAGCTCTGTGTAGTGTGTAGTACAGAGTTCTTGTCTGAGTAATAGTTTAGAAGCAATTTGACAACCAGAGGAATTTTAGTATGGAGTGGAGATGTACAGGACATAGTTTTTCAAAAGTCATACTTTTAATAGGGGGACTTATTGCTGTGAGAAACCACCTAGTGTGTGCTACTTCCAAAAAACTTGCTGCAACTATTTTTTTTTTTTTAATATTGTTGTGGCCATTGCATAGAAACCAGTTTACATGTTATAATCTCTATTTTCTTTTCAAAGCAGAGTGGATTTTTTTATGCTTAGCCTAGCATTTATTTATTACTGTACTATGATAATCATGGTGTCTTGATAGGTGGGTAGTCATCATCTCAGAGTGGGTGCCAACAGAAGGGAAGACGTAACCCAGGAACTTCGTGCCTCAGCAGCCACAGTCCTCAATCTCCTTGTAAGTATCAACTTTTAAAAAGAGATTATGCAAAAAAAAATTGCAAAAATTTTACTTTGGTCAGTGTCCTTTTGAATCTTGCTTGGCAACCCAACTGCTTACCTGTGGTGTAATAAAGTCTGCCCTTCTTTTCTTGTCTCTTGGCAATCTGTAAGAACAAGTACAAGAATAGCAAAAAAGCATTTTTGACTCAAATTGTGAGTTTGGTTTTGTGATAAGCAGAACAGTAGCTGTTTGTAAATTATATGTTGAGCTTTTGTGTGTGCAGCCAGGCCACTGAGTCACTGAGTTGGTTTCAGAACAATGGTGTCCATCATATATTTAAATGAGAGGATTCAGAAAACTGTATGCAGATAAAACAATACATACTGCAGTTACATTAGTCTCAATATATATTTCTTTTTAAAAATAATTATCCACTGCTGGTATTAATACAATTATTATAATCTTACATTGAATTTTTTCACAGACAGCTTGTGTGAGCCAATTTCCAACAGATACAAATGTAAAAATTAGGGTAAGGAAAGATTTATGTAAAAATGCTGTTATTTAAACCAAAGTGTTCCTTTAAAGCAGCCTCCTTTATAAACCATAGGAAATCATTTTGATTTTTGTTTAAGAATTAACGTTCATACAAGGTAAATGTAAGTATGATAGGAAGGCTTTATCATAAACATCTGCACTGGAGTGAAAATAAAGATACCATACTTCATTGAATAAGCACCCACACTCTAATAAGTGCTCTCCCCCAATTAGCACCCACCCCCTAGGCCACAATATTAAACAAGTGCCCCTCTCAAAAATAATGCCACCCCCCTTTCTTACTCACTTTCTTAAGGAAACTTTAAACACAAAGGTGCGCTATAAAAGGAGAGGTCCCTTAGGTACCTGGTAGATGAACAAAGGGAGCCAATGAGATGTTTACTTCCACCAGCTTGGTGGCAATGATGTAATGTGTGAACCACCTACTTTGATTTCAAATTTACCGCTACAAGTAAAGACAGTTTCCATTGGATAAAGGAAATACAAATCTCAAAAATTCTTGTATTGTGATAAAAACATATTAAAACAATTTTGAGGAATGCACCCGCTGTTCACTGCTTTGGATTAGCAATAGCTCAAGCTGACTTGACTAGCTCTTAGAGTTCCACATCACACGACGGCTGATTGACAACTGATGCAGAGGTACCTAAGGCACCTCTCCTTTTATAGCGCGCCTTCATGTTTAAACATGTACCTGGATGTTTATTTTAAGGAAATATGGTCAATCCAATTCAGTTCATTTTTGCCAGTAGACAGCTGACTTGTCACTGATAATGGTTCTTTTGCAGATGTTTCGTTGTGCTGGTAGCTGGGTGACCCTTAGTGCATTCCCACCCATAGAATTTGTAAGGAGTGATCTGTTGCAGTCAACATTCAATGTCTTGGTTAGTATACTTTTAAGACACCTAGTTTTTGTAGACTCAGCAAAATCTATAGAGTAAGTTACAACCTTAGTTAGATCTTGTTAACTAGCAACCTCTTCGTAACCTGGAAGAAGCAGGGTGGTTTCTTGAGTGGTGTTATTTTAATCTAGTTTCTAACAGTTTCTGTCTTATTTTTTAACTTAGCAAGGTACAATTATAGTAATGATAATTGTGATAATCAAAACAAATTCTCAAACATGATTGGTTAACCCCAGCCTGATTTGAGCACTAATAAGACAGTTACAAGTTGTGCTAATGCCTTATAGTTGGACAGTGTAAATCTTCTGCCTGTGCAATTGGACAGCATGCATCATGTGTCCATGCTGTTATTGTGCATTTTGCTTGATTTGAGGGTTGTTTTTTTATGAAAAAGTATAACAGATGGCTAGTTTGTTTCTCAAATTTAGTCATAGTTTTGATTATATGGTAGAAGGATGTCACGTCATCCGATTCTGTTTGTAATCATACTCGTAATCATGAAATCAAATTCCTTGTACATGGTGCTCTGTTTGTATCAGTCACTTTATGATTACGGACCAAATTGGCCTGCACTCACTCCCAATGCCATGCCGTGGCTAATAGCAATCGTTATATAATTATTCTTTTCATTGTTGTTATTATCATGATTGTCATTGTAATTGCCAATAATGATATTATTACAACTGTCATTACACTATTAGTGCACATTTGAATTTACTTGTGATTCATGGAGCCCACTTCCATCAATTTGTGATACATGTACATGTACATGTAATTCACTCTTAAAGCTGATCTGAAATTGACAATTGCAGTTTTTTTTCCCTTTTAATTCCCTTTTAGCATGAGGCTGATTGCAATGACTTATTACATGAAGTAGCAGCAGACTTTATTTGTAATGCGCTGTACACATCTGAGGTGTGTAATGACTTTTCTTTGGTAACTGTAACAGTCTGTCAAGGTGGTTTTGAACATTTATCTATACTTATTTACTAATAAATAGAATTATCTCCATAACTACTTGACATTTTTTTTAACTGAACATAAGATTTTGCCGGTATCCTTAATCTTGCTGTTAAGATTCTCTACACTTTGTTGCAATCAACATTTTGGTTTCTGTTTATGTAGAACCTTGAGAATCAGGAACAGCTTGCTGAAGGACTTTTTCAGTATGTGATGATGCTGCCGCCAGCTTATGAAAAAGCTGTGCAAAGTGAAGACTTTGACCGGTAAGCACTCCTCATCAAAGTCACCAACCTTTATGTAGTGTTTGTACCTTCCACCTTTTCACACAATACTGTTTCATGCAGGACTGAGGAAAGCATCTTGATCCAGTCTCAACTTGAACAACTCAGTCTGGCTTGCATAACAAAAACAATTCTGCACTGAATTTGGATTTTTCTTCTTGAATTATATATAATCACAGTTGTCTATCAATAATTCTCTTGTCTAAAGAATACTCTTTCTCTAGCCAGGTGGGAGGCATTTTGTGAAACGGATGTTCAATAGATTTCACTTCCTTTGTGTTTTACTTTTGCAGAGCTCTCAATATCTGCAGAGTTTTTACTGAAATGGGAGAGTCTTTCTTACCTGTGATTGTTCAGTCACCTGGCAGGGTATGAGGATATGAATTACTATAAGTACTGCTAATAATACTTGCAAGCATTATTATTTTGAGACTGGAGTTGGAAACGATGCAACAGTTAGAACCAAATCTTCTACTAATCACTCCTCAAGAGAGTATTTTTCAGTATTTTTCCCCGAACAGTTTCTGTTCGGAGAAGTAATCAGTGCAGGACACCGCTGAGCTCAGGGTAACACCTCATCTCAAAGGGAATATGTGCGGGCTTATTTTCGCGCTGACGGAGGCTTCCGGTTTTTTATGGTTACATTTTTTTCTCTTTGTTTTTTTTTTTGTGACTCGCAAGACAAATGCTGATGAAGGTCTTGCTGTCAAAAACATTCATCACTTTGGATTTCAGCATTTCATGTTATCAACAAGCAAGTCTATTTCTTCATCAGTAAGAACGAACAAAGCTCTCCCTTTCAAATAATTACCTCCATCATTTCGCATTTATGGTTGAAGAATTTGGGAAAAGCAATCGAACTGATTACATGATCGATAGCGTTGCTCATCATTTACATTGCAGGCCCTGGTTACGTCTCTTGAAACTGATACATAAAAGCAGTTCTATGCCGTTGAAAGAATGATATATTTTCAAGAAATACTCAGTGACTATAAATGTTTTAATTCACTCTTTTGCAGAGTCTTGGTGACTTAGGAACACTCACCATTATATTGACTTGTGTAAAGCATTATCAGTATGAGGTACAGTAATTTGTAATCTCGCTGCAATCCACGTTGATCTTCTTTGGAGTGCATTCCAGTGGTGTGTCGTAAAACGAAATTAAAGTAATCACAACAGTCAATTCTGAAGGACGGAGGGAGTGAGTCGCCAGGTTGTATTGATTTTAGTCTCGCACGTGGTTGGTTAAGAGGGGTGTGCAAATTGTCTGGACCAATCTGAGAGCGGCATTAAGCAAAACCAAACCAATCCCTGATTACCTACCGGAACAAATTTCAACTGAGTGCCGAACGTGATCTGGGATAGGTTTGGTTATCCTTCACTTTGCCATGTGATTGGTCCAGAAAACTCTCACCGTTCTCTCAAGCAATCAGCTTTAAAACTAAAACCAGTGGCGACTCGGTTACTCGCGATTTCCCGCGCTTCAAGCAGTTTGCGTGCTTTTTTCTTGAGTTCTTATTGGCAGCTCGTCTTATTTCCTTTCATCTGATTGGCTGTTGTAAAACTTTGGTTTGGTTTTACGACACTCGATGGAGAACCGCTGTAAGCAGTCTCTTTATGTGCAGTAAATCAGCTCAACTAAATTGAGCATACGACACCAGATTATTCAATCAATATTTTCAGAATGAAAATCTTTAGGTATTTTTACAGGTAGCGGAGGTAACATTCAACTTCTGGTATCGTTTATCAGAGGCTTTATATAAGACTGAAGATGAAGCAAAGGCAGCCCTCTTTAGACCATATTTTGAAAGTTTACTTGAAGCGTTGTGTGTTCACTGCCGGTTAGAAACCGATGCGGTAAGGACAAACAGTAATAATTAATTTCAGTAATAATTATAATGATAAGTGCATTTTTTGTTAACTTAGAGCCACAAAGGGACCGTTACTAGTGTTTATTGGACAGCTTTAGGAAAATAATTTGGATATATCAAGAAAGTTGAAATGGTAAATTGGCCACCGTAACGATTTCAAAAGCTGACGTTTCGAGCGTTAGCCCTTTGTCGGAGCGATTTGCACAACCCCCTTCGCTCCGACGAAGGGCTAACGCTCGAAACGTCAGCTTTTGTAATCGTTACGGTGGCCAATTTACCATTTCAACTTTGTTGATATATCCAAATTATTTCGTTACCCCCATCGACGCAGCCCCAAACAGTTTCTTTAGAAACTATCAGCCTTTATTCAGCTTTAGGAAAAGTCGCATAGCTTCGTACATGTTTGGTGTGCTACTTCAGATTCTTTTTGGGTCAGTTAGGGCGAATGCGTCGGTAAGTTTCCGGAAGCTTAAAGGCGTAAACCACCACCACCCCCTTCTTTCTCAGTAATTCGATTCGACGAATGATCTGACAAAAATCAAGTTAGCTAAACAGGGTACAGAAGACGGCAAATAATCTTGCGTGTTGGTAATTAGCTTGTCAAATGACAATGGGATAGGGTTGGTAAGTTTCAGTTGAAGGTACCAAAGACGAAAACGTTGTATTAATGAACTGTTTTATACTTTTTTTCGTTGCTACTCTGTTAGAAATCGAACCAGTCAGCATTGTGTTATTGTTATCTTCCATTCTACAGCAAGGAATCCCAGATGACTGTGACGAGTTTGGAGAGTTTCGACTCAGGGTGGCAGATCTCATCAAGGACTGTGTATTTATTGTAGGATCAGGAAACTGTTTTAGTCAGGTGAGACTGCACAGGGATAATGAAAATGGTTGCGGAGGAGCTATTGAATAGTCCTTTTTTTACAGTTGTGGGCTTGGTGGCCAAGCCTTTGAACAGGAGTGAGGCTAAGGGTGACCATGTTATGATAGAGATGTTGCTGCTTTTCAAATGCAAATTTCTTTGTTATCATGCTAACTAGATACAGGACTCTATCACAACAGGGTCACCCTTAGCCTCACTTCTGTTCAAAGGCTTGGCCACCAAGCCCACGGCTGAAAAAAGGACTATTCAGGCACGTTTCCTATGTTTTGTCTCATTCTTCAAAATAGAAAAAGCTTAAAAGGAAAACGAAAAAGAAGTAAGTACTATAATTGACATTGTTTGATTTGCAAGGAAAAGGAATTGATAAATATTATTTCTTGTATCTTTAGATGTACAACAGTATTGTACAGCAAGGGAACGCAGTTCCTTGGGAAGCAACGGAAGCCGTCCTGTTTGTGATGTCAACAGTAGCAAGAAATGTACCATCGTAAGATAACTAAACTGGTTATTATGATATGAAATCGTATTGTTACCTTTCGCTCAACTCAAGTGTCTGTGGGCTTAACGTGGTTCCTGGTCAACACTACAAAATTATCCCTACCCGATTCTATAGTTTTATCCGGCGCCAAGTACCTTGCACTTCCATGTTAACCGTTCCGGCTCGCCATTGTAATCTATTGCATAACTTGCACTTATTGCAAAAAGATATACATCAGCGAAACAGGCGGAAGACAAGGTGACCGATTCCGAGAACACCTTCGAGACGTGGAAAGGAATGACAAGGACACATCGAAACCAGTTGCTAGGCATTTTAATTTACCTAATCATTCTAAGCAACATACGGCAATCTGCGGTCTTTCCTTACACTTAGGTAGCACGGAAAGCCGTAAAAATCTTGAACAAAAGCTCATCTTTCAAACCGGCAGTCTAAATCCCACAGGGATCAACGAACGCTTTTCATTCCACTAATTTATTCTTGTTTTTCTCGTTGCCATGTTCCCACCAATAACGTAGCTCCATTTTCTGCCTTTAAAAGCACACACAACCCACAATTCCTCTATTCGCTCCGACGAAGGGCTAACGCTCGAAACGTCAGCTTTTGTAATCGTTACGGTGGCCAATTTACCATTTCAACTTTGTTGATATATCCAAATTATTTCGTTACCCCCACCGACGCAGCCCCAAACAGTTTCTTTAGAAACTATCAGCCTTTATTCATATGTTATAAAACAATTGGTTCATGCTTTTAGCTGTGCACTATCGAGTTATGGAGCAGGTGGGAAGTTTGGAGAGCACTCAAGAAGCTAGAGTTTCCCTCGGCTATTGCCTCGGACAACTCTTACGCTTCTTTCGTGCTCTCCAAACTTCCCACGTGCTCCATAACTCGATAATGCACGCTCAAGCATGCACCAATTGTTAAATAAAATGTGCCCTTGTTTGATGTTTTCAATTCCATCTTGGTGGAGCTACCCCTATACTTCGCATCATTTTACTTTCAGG